TCCTAGGCCTAAGTTGTTCCTGTTCCTTGGTCCCCTGGGGCCAAGCTGCTACAGAGCCAATCCGTCTCCCTGGGCCCAAGTCACTGCTGCACTCTAACCCTTGGGGCCTGGGTCACTTGTGCCCCACCATTCCCAGGGTCTTGCTGCCACAGAACCCCATTCTTCCAGGGTTCTGTAGGAACCCTCTAGTATAGCACCCTGCTTTCCCAGAAATTAAAGTCACTGCTGCACTGCCCCCTACTCAGGAGCCTGAGCCACCACAGCACTCCTTTATTCCTGGGACCATGATGGTGCTGCACCCTGTACCCCACAGTCTAAGCTACTGCTATATCCCATCTTCCCAAGCTTGAGCTGCTGGGGCACAACCTAGAGTCCAAGATCCCAGCTCTGTGGGTAATCTACATAAGCCAATAATTCCACAAATGCACTTGTACCACAAGACCTATCTGTGAGCATCTGTGCCCTGACCTGGCACTGCTGCAGCTACCTGAGGGCATACCAGATCCAGAACCAACAGGAATACCCTCAGCTAGGATGCTCCTCTGAAAGGAATAGGTGAACACAAGGACCACAACAATTTTAACCATTGAAGACTTCAGCAGCCCATCATAAACACCTGCAGCCTTGGCCAATGAGGCCCTCCCAGTCTTCAATGATGCTGACTACAGATGATGGAGCTCCTGGAGACTATACCTCCACACCCCTCTGCAACCAAAGATGCTGAACTCCACCAACCTACACCTCACACCCAGCCACAGATAGTCCACCCCCACTAAAGCTAGTCTGTAAAGTCTGAAAGAGATAACTACTCCAAAAAATGTGCAGACATCAATGTAAGGTCACAAGAAACATAAAACAAACAAGGAAACATGACAACACCAAAGGAATATACTAGCTAACTCCAAAGAAAGTGAGATCTACAAGTTGCCTGAAAACAAATTCAAATAATTATTTTAAAGCTCAGCAAGATACAAGAGAAGATAGACAACTCAATAAAGTCAGGAAAATTATACACAAACAAAACCAGAGATTCAATAGAGATAGAAACCATATCAGAGAATCAAACAGAAGTCCTGGAACTGAAGAATATAATAAATGAAACAAAAATGAAAAATGCAAGAGAGAGGCCTGGCACAGTGGCTCATGCCTGTAATCCTAGCACTCTGGGAGGCAAAGGCGGGTACCTTTCCTGAGTTTAGGACTTCAAGACCAGACTGAGCAAGAGCAAGACCTCATCTCTAAAAAATAGCCAGGCATTGTGGCAGGCACCTATAGTCCCAGCTACTTGGGAAGCTGAGGCAAGAGGATCACTTAAGCCCAAGAGTTTGAGGCTTCTGTGAGATATGACACCACGGCACTTTACCCAGGGCAACAAAGTGAAACTCTGTCTCAAAAAAAATAAAAAGTGAAATAGAGAAGTTTAACAGGGAAAATTAGTCAAGCAGAATAAATAATCTGTGAACTTCAAGACAGATATTTTGATATTATCCAGTCAGAGGGAAAAAAAATAATGAAAAACAATGAAGAAAGCCAATACCATTGCTCATGGAATACCATTAAGTAAACCAACATATGCATTATGAGATTCCAAGAAAAAGACAAGAGAGAGAAAAGGAAAGACAGTATATTTAAGGAAATAAAGAAAACTTCCCAAATCTTGGGGAAGATACAGACATTCAGATCCCTGAAGTTCCAAAGCCTCTAAATAAATTTAATCCAGAGAGGTCATCACCAAGACACATTATAATCAATTTTTCAAAAGCCAGAGAGAGAATTTTGAAAGCAGCAAGAGAAGCACCATGTCACACAAAAGGAAATTTCCATTATACTGTCATTGGCTTGATATTTCATCAGGACCCAGCCTGGTAAGTCAGGAGAAAATGGGACATATGTTAAAAGTGGTGAAAGAAAAAATACTACCAACCAAGAACTACATCTGGCAAAGCTGTCCTTCTGAAATGAAGACAAAATAAAGACTTTCTCAGAAAAGCAAATACTGAGGGAAGTCATCATTGTAGATTTGCCTTACAAAAAATGCTAAAGGGAGTTCTTCAGGCAGAAATGAAAGGGCACTAATTACTAACACAAACATATATGAAAGTCTAAAATTCACTGGTAAAGGTAATACACATGGATTGAGGGGCCGCCATTTTTGCTGCGCGGACGCGGAGCGGAGCGAGAGGCTGAGAGAGTCGGAGACGCCATCCGCTTCCATCCGTCACACAGACCCTGCCGGAGCCACTGCCCCTGTGGATGATCGGGAGGATCTGGTGAACCAGGCGAAACTGGCCGAGTAGGCTGAGCAATGCGACGACATGGTGGAATCAAAGAAGAAAGTAGCAGGGGTGGATGTGGAACTGACAGTTGAAGAAAGAAACCTTCGATCTGTTGCATATAAGAATGTGATTGGAGCTAGAAGAGCTTCCTGGAGAATAATCAGCAGCATCGAACAGAAAGAAGAAAACAAGGGAGGAGAAAACAAACTAAAACTGATTGGGGAATATGGGCAAATGGTTGAGACTGAGCTAAAGTTAATCTGCTGCGCCATTCTGGATGTACTGGACAAACACCTCATTCCAGCAGCTAACACTGGCGAGTCCAAGGTTTTCTATTTCTACAAAATGAAAGGGGACTACCACAGGGGTCCAGCAGAATTTGCCACAGGAAATGACAGCAAGGAACAGCCTAGTGGCTTATAAAGCTGCTCATGATATTGCAGTGACAGAACTTCCACCAACGCATCCTAGTCGCTTAGGTCTTGCTCTCAACTTTTCCGTATTCTACTATGAAATTCTTAATTCCCCTGACCGTGCCTGCAGGTTAGCAAAAGCGGCTTGGGATGATGCAATTGCAGAACTGGATACGCTGAGTGAAGAAAGCTATAAGGACTCTACACTTAGCATGCAGTTGTTACGTGATAATCTGACGCTATGGACTTCATTCAAGCAGCGTGGTAGTCTGCAGAATAAAGAGCAGAATAGATAAGTGCTGCAGGATGTGGAAGA